GTGTTGACCCTCACAGAGAGAAAGTATTCAACGATAGAGAAAGAATGTTTAGCAATGGTATGGGCAGTCGACAAATGGAGACCTTATTTACTCGGCCGGCGGTTCCACATCGAAACTGATCATAAGCCGCTACAATTTTTGAAGACAGCGAGAGACCCACGGGGGAAGTTGTCACGGTGGATGTTGCGTCTTCAGGAATACGATTTTACGATCTCACACGTTCCTGGAAGTGAAAATGTCTTGGCAGATTTGTTATCGAGACCAGAAGATGAGTCTGAGTTGCCCGAGGTCGCTTACGGAGTGCATGCAGTAGAACAAGACCCACTAAGACTTGCACGTAGGCAGAGGTTGGACGATACGCTGAATACAGTAATACAGGTGATCACCAACGGAATAGAAGTGGATCAAACTACGGCGAGTAAGGAGCTAACCACACTACTCAGACAGAGGGATCGACTCAGAGTGAATGCCTACGGGACTCTGACCTGGCGAGAGAACGACGGAAGCTGGCTGGCTGTCATACCTCAATCGTCGCGCCACGACATGATAGAAGAATGTCACCAGCTAGCGCATACAGGCGTGGCCAGAACGACCGACCTCCTAAGACAAAGTATGTACTGGCCAGGTATGAGAGAAGACGTAGCAAGATACGTACTTGGATGTCCACGGTGCCAGCTGATGAAAGGTGACCGGTATATACGACCACCACTTCAGTCGATTCCAGTTACCGCGATAGGTGACTTGTGGTCCGTAGATGTCATGGGTCCATTTCCTCAGACATCCAATGGTAATCAGTACCTCTTGGTGATGACGGAACACGCGACACGATGGGTAGACGCCGTAGCAATCCCAGACCAACGTGCAAGAACCGTGACAGATGCAGTAGTTAGACACATTGTTGCAGACCACGGCGTACCGAAGACAATACTGACAGACCAAGGTCCCTGTTTCGAGAGTGAAGAGTTTACTTCCCGTTTGCAACAGCTGGGCATCAAGAGGATCAGAACGACCCCATACCATCCACAAACGAATGGCCTAACGGAGAGAAACAACCGTACACTGAAAGAGTGGCTGGCTTCGAAGGGCGGGAACTGGGAAACGGAGCTTCCACTGATTTTACTAACACATCGGGCTACCACTCAGGAAACAACGAAGAAGTCACCCTTCCAACTGATGTATGGCAGAAAACCACGATTACCGGTACACAATGAGACCTGGCCCATGCACCAAAAGTGGAGTACGACGAAATTAAAAGCAGAGAGGAAAGAGGCAGTCAAGAATGTAATACGGAAGCAGCGCAGTGATGTCACGAAGTCTCAGATGAAAGAAAGGACGCAGTGCATTACTTTTGCAGTCGGGGACCAAGTGAAGTGTAGAGACAGGAGATATACAGTTGGAGGCGGGCTAGGTTCACGGAAACTCCTTCCAAAGTGGGAAGGACCATACACAATCACAAAAAGACGGGGTCAAGTATATACCATCCGAAGAGGTGATAAACAGAAACGAGTTAACGCCAGTCAGCTACAAAGATGGGTACAGTGGGACAAGCCGGTCAGTAACAATCCTCAACTAGAGGATGTAGCACCCAGAAGGTCGGAACGTCTGCGCACAAAGCTATTTGACGGGGGGACGAGTGTGGTGAGAGCAGGCTGCTAGCCGATTGGTTGGCACTAATCTACGTTAATGTCTAGGTCACTAATATTGACCGTGAACAAGGCTGTTTCAACAACCAATCACAGCAAACCTAAATGTGGACAAATATGATTCGCAGATAGATGGCTCTACTTTCCGAGAAATATCGAACACAACCAATCATAAGACTGTGTTTGTCTGCTTAACTTCCGAGAAACAACCAATCAGAAGACTGCCTTTTTCTGCTTGCATAAGCCTTATTAATGCATATAAAATATATATAAATACGTGTTGATTTTCGTAATAAAACGATCTGTTGCCAGCCCTTGTCTTCTGTTGTTACACTAGTGATACAGTGTGGAATTTTCAGTACATATCTACAATATTGCGTCTAATTTTATCAAATATTTGAAAGGGGTACTTCGATATATATATATATATATATATATATATATATATATATATATATATATATATACAAAAAAATGTGAAAAAATACCAAAAAGTAGAAAGGAAAATAAACAACATGATAAATAATATCTCAGTATTGGGTAGTGGAAGCTACGATATGTTTATGCGTAGCGAACAGTAACAGCTATAATCATACAAAAAGTTAAGAAATGATATTAAGAATGTTTATCGCCAAGATGATCAGTTAATTTGATTGAACAACACTAAACAATCATAAAATAAACATTTCAGGTTGTTGTTTATTTATTGTCAGGTCTAATGCGGTGTTTGTAGTGGTAGTGTGAGTAATCATGCATAATACAAAATTTTAAGATGGTGATAACGGCGTTCAGAACCAAGATTGTCAGTTAATATTGCCGAACAAAAAACAACCACAAAACTAATATCACATGATGGTTAATGTCAGGACAATTTTGTAATATTCATAGTGATAATATAGTCGGGACTAGTAGATACACAAAATAAGGAATAGAATAAATTACAAAATAGTAAGCCAATGTTAATAATTTAGGTAGCTAAGTATATTTAAGGTGTTCACTATAGAATACAAATAAGAGAGAAATAAAGAGTTTACAAATAAAAATTCATATATAAACCAATCATGGTGTTTTGTCTATAGGATAATACGATGGTGAATATAAATTGTGCAGTTAGTCACGATTCCTTGACGGAGATAGGTTATCCGAGTAGTTTCATAAAGAAACATATGAAACCACCAGAGAAGAAACCTGTGACTCTGACTGCACATAAGAAACCTCTATTTATTAAGTTACAATTTAATAGGGACTTATCTAGTGAGATTCTATTCCAAAGACTTTCAAGGAGCATACGTAGAACATTTTACGCAGCACACCTATGTTTGTCATTCTCTAGCCGACGAATGATTGGGACGCAAACGAAGGATAAGCTTGATAGTTTTGCCACATCTATGTGTATTTATCAGTTCAACTGCACCTGCGGTGACAGTTATATTGGGCGTACTACTAGACAGCTTAGCCAACGTGTTAGTGAACATCTCCCATCGTGGTGATTCGGCGAAGGACAGACAAAAACAATCCGAAGCTCAATTCTGTCACATCTAATTGATAGTGGTCATGTAGTTGATAAAACGAAAGCCTTCAAAGTAATTCATCGTATCCCTCCGAATCTTTCTAATAGACTTCGTATTCGTCTACTGCACACAGCTGAGGCGATAGGCACTCGAACTATTGAACCTAAACTATGCATTCAAAAGAAGTTCGTGAAGCCATTATCCCTCCCGTGGCCTAATAAGACATAACCAACGAAAGACTTCTACACCACCCTTTATTTATATTTCCAACCCCTTTCTTATCATCCCTTAATCTTATCTTATATTCATTATAAACGTGTTTCATTTCCTTCCCCTACAATCTAACATTACGTAATCGGTTCATTTGTTTTTACTAGCCTATATCGACTACTTCCACCTGAACAATTGTTTGTTTAATCATACTGTTTTTCATTATTCGTGTTATCACAGATTGCCTCATTTTTTCATCCTTATTATTGATAAGACCATTATTATTATTATTATTACTATTATTAATATTATCATTACCACTATTATGACTAACTGCACAATTTATATTCACCATCGTATTATCCTATAGAAATAAAGAGCCAAAATTATATTAATAACAACAAAGTAAGTCATAGGTTTCACGCTTAACATTGTCTCTGTCACTCAGAACACGGGCCAAATATGGTATCGTTGAGTTCCTATACTTGGTTGTACGAGCATATAATACTTTGTACTGATTTCTGGTTCTACCTGATGAGATACAAGTAGAGAGTTGGGAATAGGGAGAGTGTGGTTTTTTAGACCATTTTTCGCATGTATTCAGATGCCTTTCTACTACTGTAGTGACGAGCTGACTGAGTTTTACACCACTAGTCCTACAACCACCTCCAACATCCTTCTCAGGGTGGTATAGTCCTTTTTCAGTAGCCCAGAAAAGACTGATGGGGAGCAGTAAAGTAGAATAGGTAAGATACGAGAGTTGACAAATTGGGAAAGTAGAACTTGGGTGATTTCGGATAGTCTAAGTTGCTTAATGTAGTAGGTTAGACGAAACACTTTCTTAGAAATCGTTAGGACATGAGATGACCAAGTAAGGTCGGAAAATAGGGAACAAGTTTTAGTAACAATAATTTCTCCATTAGTTTCGAAAAAGGAGAGGTGATAGCAATAGGTCTAAACTTAACACTATTTCCAGAACCAGACTTGGGTACAGGGGTGATTTTAATATCTTTCCACAGAGAAGGTACAACATTATTAGAAAAAAAAGTATTGAAAATGTTTGTAAGTGGGTTACTTGAAATATCAGCACATTTCCTTAGGACAATGCCAGGTATATCATCAGGGCCTAGACTCTGGGAATGTTTAAGAGATTTTAAACATTTAAGAACTTCAGAAGTATTCAAACTGTGAAAGTCACTGGTCATGTTATCCTTCATCTTCATGATCAAAAACTGAAGTATTTTATATGGTTATATTAGGTTATTCCATGCAGTTGAGAAAAACCAAAGAAATAAAACTACGTCATTTTATCCTGCTCAGTATGTTCTTCTTGTTTTGTTCATGCACTGACTTGTGCTAGGAACGCCTGTCAATACATAGTTCTGTACCATTATAAGCTACATTACAAATTACTCTATTGTCGAAAATACTCATTTCTACAATCCTATTCTGTTTCTTTCTGTATGCTTTTGTTCAACAAGTACGTCTGAATGAGTAAAGATATCGATTTTACCTCTAACCAATCAGTGTAGATTATTTTGAATTATTGATAAAAAGAATACACTCTATGATAATGCCATCATTTTCCTTTAATTCTATATTTTAGTAAGAATACATTATACAAGGAGAAGGAAAGATGTTTATAGTAGCACTTGTGATAAATATAACTGTATTGTGTAGTATTTTAATTATTACGCATTCACAGTGCTGCTGTTTGCGACAAGAAAGCGTTCGTCTTTGTAAAAAAGTATTTGTCGGAGACAATTTAGCGAAACCGAAATCCTTTATAAATGATATACGGGCTATTGAAAAATCAGGAATTTCTATTGAAAATCCCTCTGATAACATGCAAAGATATTTTACTTTGTTCGTAATTGATATTGATGTGTACAAACGGCAATATGAGACGATGACAACAACAGCTTTTATGGGATTAAAGAATAATCACGATAATCTTGCTACTGGCAATAAAAACTCTTATGAATATTTAAATCAGTACGTACAAGTTATTTATGCTGCCTATAATATTCCTGCTAGTTGTTTTAAGTCTTCGATTTATTGTAGACCGGATGATTTGCATTTAGTTAGTCAGCCTTATTGTTCTAGTGAATATGATGAATATAATCGCATACGAGTAGTTCTCTTAGAACAAGTCATGAACAGTATGCCAGCAGTTATACGAATGACAAATAAAACCAATTACAGAGATTTCTATGATCCAGCCCACTACAAAGGCTATCCATTTAGAATAAATGAATACTACTATCAAAGGTGTAAACGTTCAATGCAGTATGATATGTTTATGCTTAATCATGGTGAATATCTTTCTAGTAATTATGATATTAATTTAAGAGAAAGAGTAAGTCAATTTTTCAGTGGACATGACAATACTACAACTGAAAGTATTCGTAGTACTATAGTGGATTACTTCCCGAAATTAATCATTACAAATGAAACTATTCAATATGAAGAGTCGACATGTTTTTTATGGGGAGAATGGCGTGGAAGACTATCACACATCCCATCTTTATTTGAAATTCATCGTTCATGTAATAATGATCCAATGAGATGGGAAAAAGAACACCAAATTCATGGAAGTAATTTAACTGACTACTTAATCAAACGTGCTAATCAATGGTTTACTTTTGCTAAAATTAACTATGTTCATTTATTCATGCATGAAAAACGTGCATCACAGCTGCAAGTATTATTGTCAAGGAACATAAAAGAGTTATTTAATAGCAGAATAAGATATCGAGCTGCGAAATGCATAAGGATTGTATCAAGGTTATATTTATTTGAACAACTCCTTAGAAAATTTGATTATATTTGGGAGCCTATTGCCCCTTAATAATACTGATAGTGATGTGTAAAGCTGTATGATTTATAAGAAAGTGAATACAGAGAGACTTTGTGAGTAATAAGTGTCTGTGTCCCTAAGATATGGTTTGTCCTGAAAAAAAGAAGTCTTGTACATCAGTTCGAATTGTAACAACAGAAGACAAGGGCCAGGCAACAGATCGTTTATTGAGGAAAGCAACACATATTTATATATTTTCATGCACATTATTATAGATTATTCTTAGCAGAAAAACACAGTCTTCTGATTGGTTGTTTCTCACTGAAAGTTAATCTTTCATCTCTTTGTGGCCGTTTCTTAAATGTCAGATCATCTATATGCTAACTGCATCCGCCTACGCAAAGTCTGCTGTGGTTGGTTGTTGAATCAGTCTTCGTTCATATTTTTCTCATGACCAATATTTTGGACATAAACATTGACGTAAATTACTGTCTACCGATTCGGCTAGCAGCCAGCTCTCACCACGGAGTTACTGTCTTCAGTAATTCTGTAGCGTCAGAAGAAAAAAGCCAGGAAACAGATCGTCTTTTGAGAAAATTAAGAGATATTCATTGATTTATATGTACATTATTATTAGAGTTGTTGTTTTCAGCGAATTAACGTCTTCTGATTGGTTGTTTTCTTGCTGACGTTTATTCTGTCATCTCACTGTGGCTGTTTCTCAGAAAGTCAGGCGATATGTCAGCAGATTGTATTTGCACACGTTAAGTCTGCAGTGATTGGTTTCTGAATTCCTCAAGGTTAGTCTTTGTTATTGTTTTTCCTGATGACGGGACGTAAATATTGACATAAATTGTTGTTTACGATATTGGCTTGCAGACAGCTCTCACCACAATTCGAAACAGCGTTGCCCAATTTACAGTAAAATGAAAAAAATTGAGGAAAGTTGAGTGTGTGATCAAAAACTGCCGAGTTTTTCCAGTCAATTGTCTGCAATGCTCATACCTTACACCTAAGTATTTGGGCCTGAGATCTACCGGAAAGTAAAAAGTCATTTCGGTCAATGGCAGGACACCATGACTGCTCTGAAGATAACGAAAGTTTGCAGATGACAACTCAGCTGTAATTATCCGTGTGGGGATCTCATCAGTGACTGGCTTATTGAGACCAGTGCAATCTCACTAAGGGAAGTGGTCAGAAGTTCCACTCTTTCCTCATGCTATCCACCATATCTATGCCCTTCAACAGATTCTGGAACATAAATATACTTTCTGGCGTCCAGCAGTGGTCATATTTCATGACCTGAAGGCGGCACTCGATTCCGTCCAGTCATATGTACTATGGCGATATTTGTTTGTGAAGTGAATGCTGAGGAAATACAGTGCACTTGTCAAGGCATTCTACTGAAACTCATACAGCCGATGAGAGCCTACGAAGAGTTGTAATCTGAAGTGGTGACAACCAGTAGTGTCCATCAGGGATACCCACTGTCCCCAATTCTTTTTAATTCCACCACAGATGTACTAATGGTCTTAATCCTTGGGTCTCTGAAGTCAGTTAGGGTTGACTTGTTTCCAGGGTATAATCTCGTTGACTGAGAATATACAAATGATGCTGTCCTTCTACGTAAAGGCACTGATTATCCTACTGTCGACCAAAGGGCACTTGTTTGTGGTTTTCAGCAGTTCGTTCTGTCCTCCTTTATGGTTATGAGACATGGTCATTGAAAGTGAAAAACATGAGAAGGCTAGCTATCTTTGATCGTGCTATGTATCCACATAATATATGTGTTTGTTTTGACAGTCTGTTATATTTTGCTATATATATATGGATCGATATTCCATTATAATTGATAATGTGCTTTTGTCTGTCCACTAACTAAACAGACGTGTCTGACCTTGTTGTCACATGACATTACAACCAATCATGTTAAGGCTGTCTATTGATTCGTTCATTTTTGAACATTCGCTGATACACTTGAGTGACATTGATTTTCCTTGTTTGAAAAATACAAGTATCATCGTGAATCTGGTGGTTTTCTGATTCCCTCTTTCCGCGTCAGGACTATTAATTACTCGACGAGTACATAACAGATAGTAAGTGTCTGCGTTCTCTCCCTATTTAATTGCGTATAATAAGGTGAGCAATATTGATGTTAGGCGTCGAGTATTAGGTAAGGAGGGAAAATCAATCGAGGTTGTGAAGTTACACCGATTGAGATTTTTAGCACATGTGTTACGTATGCCTAGCCATCATCTTCATCGACATAGGATGAGTCAGGTTGCAATAGAGAGACGTAGTAGTGGTCGAACCAAAGCATGGCTTCATCAGCCAATGAAATTCATAACAGTCAGTATACTCCAGACAGTCATGGAGGGAGGTGTGGACTTGCTTCCCGGTTGGGGTCTTCGGGATGGTAAAAACCAGTGACTGGAGACAATCGGTGATATGGCTCAATATCGTTGTCAATGGTTGGTGCAGATGAATTCACTCTTTGTGATTTTTCATATTCAATAAAACTATTGTCAACTCATAATTCTGTTTATTATCTCTTTTTTGAATCTCTCTTTACTCTCTTCTCTTGCTTTGTGTTCTGCATGGAGTGTGGCAAGCGGAACTGCTGCATATCTGTGAAAAGTTCTACGTTGAAACCAGTCAGTTAAGTAGTCCATGCAACATCAGGTCACATTTGACAAGGACCACTCTCATACTAAATACACTTATATTCTTAAATAAGGTGTTCACTTGACGCTACACTTTGTCAGAGTTTCCACCTCATACGGTATTACCATCTGTGTAATGCAAATCAAAGAGACTTTCCCCTAGTAACAAATAGATCTCCGAGGCAGCTAAGTCGACTAGGATTATAACATCCATTTATAATACAATTATAAATGACTAGAGACACTAGGTATTCATGACGCATACTACTACTTTCTGTCGATTCGCAAAACTCGACAAGCTTGTAGTAAACCTGCTACAGAACCAAAATAACTCCAGTGCTAAAATTAATTCATCAAATCAAATCAACTTAAAAATAACTGAATAAACGTCTAACTCCACTGTAGATGAACGAAACATTCCCATATTGAGTCATAAGAAAAAGGCACAAACAGTGAAGAAGATTTTCTTTTCGACGATTCATTCTCATGAGCTGTACAATCGTAATTATAATTAACAAAGAGATCTTTAGACCAATCAGATACTGGTAAATTTTGTCTTTGAAAAATTGTATTACATAATGTAAGGTATGAGAAAGGATGAACACTGCCCAGCTTGGTTAGCCAGAGGAGAAAAGAAGAATAGCAACAGCTCGATCCACGAACACCTTGTCATCTCCGGATATCGAGCACCCCCACACGAATGTTTCACAGTGTTACACAGAGTCCCTCAATGTCGTACAAGGGGACTTCGGATACGCCATCTGTACATAGCTGAAGCAATAGCTATTCGAGATCTGAAACCGGACCTCTGCATTCAAAAGCGATACATACATTCTCTTCCCCTACCATGGCCAGAGCAAAGTTCTTACTACAATTTTGCTTCTTTCCTTTATTATGTAAGTTCACTATTATTATTATTATTAATACTTTTATTATCATTATTATTCCCATCATCCACATTTTATTACCACTCTATTACAGTTTATTAATAACATTGCTTTTCATACAGACTAATTGTTAGTTAGAAAGGAGACAGAAGTTGGCATGACGTAATAAGTGTGAGATAATGAATAATCAATAAGCTCGTGTAAAATCGACAGGAACTAGTGGAAAGGATATAAAGTGTTTTTGTATAAAATCTGTATGAAAAGCAATGTTATTAATAAACTGTAATAGAGTGGTAATAAAATGTGGATGATGGGAATAATAATGATAATAAAAGTATTAATAATAATAATAATAGTGAACTTACATAATAAAGGAAAGAAGCAAAATTGTAGTAAGAACTTTGCTCTGGCCATGGTAGGGGAAGAGAATGTATGTATCGCTTTTGAATGCAGAGGTCCGGTTTCAGATCTCGAATAGCTATTGCTTCAGCTATGTACAGATGGCGTATCCGAAGTCCCCTTGTACGACATTGAGGGACTCTGTGTAACACTGTGAAACATTCGTGTGGGGGTGCTCGATATCCGGAGATGACAAGGTGTTCGAGGATCGAGCTGTTGCTATTCTTCTTTTCTCCTCTGGCTAACCAAGCTGGGCAGTGTTCATCCTTTCTCATACCTTACATTATGTAATACAATTTTTCAAAGACAAAATTTACCAGTATCTGATTGGTCTAAAGATCTCTTTGTTAATTATAATTACGATTGTACAGCTCATGAGAATGAATCGTCGAAAAGAAAATCTTCTTCACTGTTTGTGCCTTTTCCACTGTAGATGTTTCATGTGTTTTGTTTTAACTTGTACACATCCGGATAGGAACAAACGCCATTTCTCGCTCCTGCTAATACTTACATTCTCTGAGTCGTTAGTGAGCTAGAGAAGTTCTTAATCCTTTTCCTTGAATAATATTTACTTTATACTCTATTTAAATATGCTGCTTATCACAACATATCTCCAAATGACTGCGTCTTTCTGATATGCGTTTTTTCGTCAGTACTGACAGGTTAGGCAGGGTATTGATTCATTAGGTCAAATACGTTTAACAAGGCTGTTATAGTGTAGCTAACCAGTATCACTGTCAGTGCTTTACAGTTTTATTCCTATGCCACTTCTTCAGTTACTTTGCAGTCCTCACTGTCAATGGTTTGTCAAATACCTATGAATTTAAGGTGATTTGTTGCGTTTCTTTCTAGTCTACTTGCAATGCCGATGTGTAGCTTTGCAATTCGAGCCATGCATGGTCTACTTTTCGGGGACCCGCATTGTTTCAGTAAAAGCTTTCCATTTAGCTCGTAGTTTAGTCCGCATGCGTTGATGAGTCGGACAGGAGCTTGGTGCTTGAACAGTTCTTGCATAGACTCATTCTAACCATTTTTTGACTGTTTGGTAGGCTATGCATTCTTAACATCAGCAGGTTTCCTCCTATGCCTTATGTAGTAATAG